GTGGGTTGTACAGGGGGGGGCCCCCCGCAAGTGGGGGGGGGGGGGGGGGGGTTAGTTGAGTCCGACACACACGCAGATTTTAACAATCGAGATTGGGGTAATTAAAGATCAAGACGAAGAAGTCCTAGAATTCTCAAGCATAAATGGTTTGATTTCATAAATAAAAATAAACTTAAAGCTTGAACACAATCAAAATAAATTTAAATTGATAAACATAGTAAAGAATAATAAAATTTTAATAAATATTTTTTGCATAATAAAAAAAGTTAATTTCAAGTCATAATTAAAATAGTGCACAACAATTGGCAATGCACCATACTCCATTTCCAATGAAATATGAGCATGAATCAAGTCATGTAAATGTGTCACGCGTGTGCCGCACCTCACCATGTGCGTGTCATTGACATACATTGTGTAATAATTCAAACAAAGTCCTCACTATGAATGACTAAAGAAGAAATATATAAAAAGCCTACAAGATTTTCCATCGCAAAGAAATTTAGGATCTTATTAATACAAAATTCAAAATGAAATATTATTCAATCATAAACCTTTAGGAAGTTTTTAGATATTACTATCCTGAAAAATTTTCTCTAATTATAGTAAAGAGAATTAGTTGATAGTATGTTTCATAGGAAATTTAATATCTTATGTATTCAAGAAACTAAATGGGTTGGAAAAAAGGCTTAGGAGATTGATAATTTAAGTTTTAAACTTTGGTATACTGGTAAGAGTCGCACTAGAAATGGTGTAGTTGTAATTATTGATAAGAGTTTGATGATAAGAGTTTGAAAGATAATGTTTGAAAGATAATGTTGTAAATATTAATTGAGTTGGTGATAGAATTATAGCTCTTAAGATTATCATTAATACTAAGATTTTTAATATTATAGTGCTTATGCTCCTCAAGTAGGTTTAGACACAGTGTCTAAAGACAAATTTTCGAATGACTTAGAAGACTTAATACAAATGAAACCTCTTGAAGAAAGAATTTTTATTGGAGGAGATTTAAATGGACATGTCAGTAGAGTGGTAGAAGACTCCAAATATACTCATGGTGACTACGGCTTTGGAGTAACTAATGAAGAAGGTAGAGCTATTTTAGATTTTGCTTTAGCGTATGATTTTGTTATTACTAATACTTTATTCACGAAAAAAGATGAGCATCTTATTACTTATAAGAGTGGATATAATAAAACACAAATTCATTATTTTCTTATAAGAATAAGAGATCGTCGAGATTGTGAAGATTATAGGTCATTCCAAGTGAGAATTTATGTACCCAATATCGTTTATTAGTTCTAGATTTTAAGATGAAGAGTTGTAAAATAAAGAATACTAGGACTCATTATCATAGAATTAGATAGGGGAACCTAAAAGACAGAAATAAAATTATTTTTATGAGTAAAATTCAAGATTTCAAAATTTGGGATATTCATGAAGAAGCAAATGTTATGTGGGATAAAGTAACAAACGCTATTAAACATGTAGCAAAAGATGTTCTTGGAGAATTAAAGGGAAAAATATTTACAAATAAAAATAGTTGGTGGTGGAATAATAATGTGCAAGAAAAGATAAATATAAGAAGCTATGTTATAAAAATTAGTTTAAATGTAAAAGCTAGAGAACTGGAAAAAGTATAAAATGGCTCGCAGAACAATTTGTGACGCTAAAAATTTTACTTTTAATGATCTTTATAATAGATTAGATACTAAGGTGGGTGAAAAATATATGTATAAACTAGCCAAATAAAGAGAGAAGAAAAATAAAGATTTAACTCAAGTAAAGTGTATTAAAGATGAAAATCAAAAAGTACTTTTCTTAGAAAAAGATATTCAACATAGGTGGGTAAGTTATTTTGATAAACTTTTTAATGAAGTTTCTGAAAATACGATCGACCTTAGTGATATCAATATCTTGAATGATAATAAAATGTTTCATTTTTACCGTCGCATTAGTAAAAAAGAAGTTGAGGAGGTTTTAAAGAAAATTAAGGGTGGAAAGTCTATAGGACCTGATGATATCCCAATTGAAGTGTGGAAATATTTGGGAGATTTGGGAGTTTCTTGGCTTACTAAACTCTTTAATATTATTTTAAAAACTAAAAAGATGCCTGAGGAGTGGAGGAAGAGTATTTTGGTCCCCATTTTTAAGAATAAAGGGGATGCACAAGAGTGTGCAAATTATAGAGGAATTAAGTTGATGTGTCATACTTTAAAATTATGGGAGAGGGTAATTGAAATAGGTTAAGATGCATTACAAAGATTTCTCATAATCAATTTGGATTTATGTCGGGCATGTCTACAATGGAAGCTATACATTTATTGAGAGGTTTGATAAAAAAGTTCAGAGATAATAAGAAGAATCTACATTTGATTTTTATTGATTTAGAAAAAGCTTATGATAAGATTCCAAGAGATGTCCTTTGGAGAGTTCTTGAGAAGAAAGGTGTCGATATGACTTATATTCAATCCAGCAGCACGCCAAATCATGTACTTAAAGGTGTCGATATGACTTATATTCAATCCAGCAGCACGCCAAATCATGTACTTAAAGGTGTCGATATGACTTATATTCAAGCCGGCAGCACACCTCTATAATTTCTTCTCAAGGGCATCTACTCTTTTGACTGTCATTACTCCCTGAATGACTTTTATCAAGAAAATGGAACTCGTGTAAGATAAAATTTCGTCGATGGCTTCCCAGGTAGTTCGAATCAATGTTTGTACCAAGCCACTTCCTTCTTTGCTTCCAGGATTGCCAGTATCGCGACTATCTACAGAGGTTGTAGCCACAATCCCATCCTTGGATTCCTAACTACGTCAAAGCGGGACTATATTGTGCGATTCAGTCTCGAAGGGCAACTGTATGGCCGAGATCACGCTTCCCAACTAGTTGGAACTATGACTGAATGTACACAATAACATAATTAGCATCCCTATGTGAACCAATCGTCACTTCCAACTAGCTCTAATTGCAACTGTCGTCACGCCCTGTATGTGATTCCGTCATCGCCATGCCAACTAGCTCTTATCGCAGTTGTATAGCCCAATATTGGTTTCCTTGCTAGCTCGTGATCTTGTGTCTGCTCTAATCATGACTGTATTGTGAGAGTGTGACAGTGATCCAGTTGGTTTCTTCTTTACTACCTCTTATCGCAACAATATCGCACTGCCACACCCTATACTACGTCATGATCTCGTTGGCTGCTTCACATCGTTTGTTTTTCAAAAATCTTTCTCTAATACCAATTTGATACAAATTGGACTGATTTTTTTCACAAAATTAGGTCGAATACAACAACAACAACAAACCTCTATCCCACTAAGTGGAGTCAGCTATATGAATTTTTTTCTCCATTACATCCTATTGAATGTCATATTGTTATTTAATTCCAATAGATTAAGATAATTTTTATACAATATGCCCAAGTTATTTTAGATTTATTTGATAAAGTTTCCATAAACATTAAACAAGGCATTAAACAAGGCCAAATATAATCAACAAAGTATTTCATGCATAAGCACAATACTACTGGCGATAGTAGGTAAATATTCATTAAGCATGTAGCAAGCCCACATGCACGCCAAATCATGTACTTTATAAACCTGTAAATTTAAAATGCAGGTGCATACAAAGATGCAATGAAAAACAAACTCATAATACTGAAGGAGCTTTCTCAAAGGCAGGAACAGGAATCAACATCCCCAAAGAAAGAGAAAAAAGAAAAAAATCCAATAATGTGAAGAGCACAATTTGAAGCAAATTCACGTAATAAGAATAAACCTTAAATGAGCAATCCATCAAGCCACGTTTATTTAGAGTGGAACTGAATTGCTTCTGAAACAAACCTGAAGCTTCAGATTAACAATGTCTTCTTGATCATAGAAGGAGTGTTTCTCCATCATGCCACACTTTAATTGTTGCAGTTCTTCTTTCAAGCAAGAGATCTCCCTTTGATATTTCTTTATTAAGGATTTCTCGTCCATTATCTGCAAAAAAATAAAAGTGGAAGTAGAAGAAAGCAAAACGAGTACAAAGAAAATGGAAAATTCATTCAAAACTATACCTTGTTTTGAGACGCTTTAATCTCAACATGTTTGCTTCGGTGGGCAAACTTCAAGGTGTTATGAGTCTCTTCACTATTGCTAGAAGCCGGAGTAACTGTACAAATAAGCTAATATAGTGGGAAGGGAAAAAACAGTGAATAAGAATATATGAAAGCAACACCGAATTTTAAGAGTAAATGTTAAACAGATAAAATAATTTAATAAAACCTACATTAAATCAACAAGTATGATACTGCATCCTTTAATACCAGCATGCATACAGATTTATCGGAACTTACAGATACTCTTCCATGTCCGCTAAGAGAGGACTGGAGTAAGCGTGTGAGCTTTGAATCTCTATAAGGAATGTGTGTAGCCTTGTCATCAGTTAATTTGGAGATCACCTGATGATGGAATAACATAGAATGCGTTACAAAGAAGAATTTTTTTTTTTAGAAATAAAAGCACAGGAAAGATTGTATATCACAACAACGGCGCCATTAGGGATAAGCAGCAAAAGCAAAGTGGCATTGAAATTGCTAAAATAAAAAGAACCTAAACAAACTTCAAAAGTGCACAAAAACTAAAAAAAAATAAAAAATAAAAACTTGAGAAGTGCATTCATATTCCGTAGCACAAAGAAAATTCCAACTTCCAAGAAAGTATAAATTCCTATTTATGTAACACAGCTAAATATTTCAAGAACAACCATGACAGCAATAGTGGCAATAGTGCAATTGGCTATCAAATTAAGGAACAACAAAGCATCGCAAATTCATATCACATACTAATATACATGATGAAGTACATCATTATTAACTATAACACTTCCTCATAAATCCAAATTATACATGATGAAGCACTTAGATAACACTTCCTCATGCTGATGCGACATATAGAGTGGAATACTAACTAACATAGAAATTAGAGAAAGGAAAAAATAAAAAAAAAGGAAAGAAAGGAAAACTGCAAATGCTCAAAATGTTAGAGGGGATTTTTCAAAACATATATTTGTTAAATCCTTGAGTCACAATAGAGATGTTAATGCTCAAGCATCAATAAAAGGTTGAAAAAAAAAGCAAACCCAAACATTTCGTTCATCACCATCCAAATTATATGGCCCCTAGACACTAATCATAAATATTAAATTATTCTAAATGAAAAAATTAAAAGATAATACATTACTTCAAATAACAAAGGAAGGAGTATCAAAAAAGCCTGATACAGTGACACAAAGATAATCAATGATACTAAACGACATGTAGAAATTACCCTAAATGGAAAAAAACAAGATCAACTCTATAAAGTTGAATTGTTGACAACAAACAAATAAAAACCTTCTACCATATTACAATCATCCAATGAGAAACCCAGCTTCACAAAGACAGATAGGAAATCCACCTTGAAGTTAAATATAAAGAGAGCTACATCATCTATGATAATATCAATAGAAAGATTTCACCATATATCTGCTTCAACATAAATTGTATACTCTGAAATACAATTTTTGCAAGTGTTCAGGTCTTCAAGCACAATGATAGACAGATATAAACGGATGTCACTGATCCCTTTATTTCGTTGCATTAGATGAAAGATGCTATTTTATTTCACTTTCTATAGGCTAGTAGTTAGATTGAGTTTAGTTTTTTTACTTAGATCAAGTTGGATACGGGAGCCCAAATGATTATTCTTTTGAGACAAATGATTATAAAAAAGTAAAGGTTTTAAATTTGAATAGGACAAATATTGTAGCTATTTGATGAAGATTATGTTAAAGTAAAAAAAAACAGTGGAGGAGAACAAAGTTAGTAAGAATAAGACAGAAAGGTTCCTTTTGAATGTTTCTTGCAAACGAATTATCAAAAATCAACAAAACCTATAGTATAACAAAGTATTTGGACAAGGGGTGCTAAAAATCTCCACCTAGCATTGCCAAATTTGAGTGATTTCTGGTTGATTTTTCAAAAGGCAGATTAAATTTTAAAGAATCAACCCAAAGACTTCGCCTTATTAAAAAAACTCCATGATTTGTATTAAGGTTTCTCAAAAGCATAAGACCTATAGTTCCTTACAACTTTGGATTGCTATGATACCTGATCTAAGATTCTTCAATTTAGTAGCTGCACCTTAACTTTTGGAAAGGAAAATAGTAAATTAGTTTGAATGTTGAAGAAGTAATAATGATCCCAATCAAGATTCTACAATTTTATCAACCAAATTTGTTATGGACCCCAATCCACTTAGAGAAAAAAAAAAGAAAGTCAAAACTTAATCGAAGAATCATTCTTCGGAAAATCTCATTAGATCTAGAGAGAAAGTATGTTGAAGATCCAAATTTTAAGACTAGCATTTGCTAAAAGAACCTCATACCTTATTAAGTATGCCTTATGATGTGAGTTTAGCCAATAGAGAACATTTGAGCTAGAGTTTTAATCCAAATGTATTAATGCCCTCACAATCAAACTACTACTCGGTTAGATGGCATGTTGGCGTCCATAGTAACAAGAGATTTTAAGTTTAATCATATGATATAATTAAAATGATACTAATACTTTATGAGTTTTGGTAAACTTAAATTTATTATCATTAGCAGACGTGTGTTGATGGTGGATGCAAAATTGCTATAAGCGCAAAAAGCAATTTTTTGCTTGAAATTTTCTATATGTTGTGTACACTTCACTTTACATGCCTCATGATAAAAAATTTGGAAAAACATGCCCCATTATTTCTTTTCTCGAGGAAATTTGCCCAAAAGTTCTTATCAGATAAAAATTCCCCAACATTTCACCACGAACTAATTTTTTTAAGTTCGTCGTGATGAAGAGCAGTGCAAACATGATTCCAACAAGCTTCAATTAAGGTGAGTTCGTATACAAGAAAATTTTGAGTTATATTCAAACATTATTCAAAACATATTCAAACTATGTGTCCTGACTTAAAGATAGGTCCAAACATTAACAAGAACAACATTCAAATAAGATTCATACAATGCTCGTATAAAATATAATCCAATAGCTATAAACATTACAATAAGAAGCATTACATCACTGCAAAAAAACAACAACAAAGTCAAACGCAAAATTATTTCATCAAAATAAAGCAATTATAGCGTTCTTATAATAGCCAGCTTTGTACAATCACAATAGATATACAACAAAAGGCAAAAACCTTTATAAAACTAAATATAATCACAGATAAAACCAGCCTCTTAAGTCATGTGACTAAATTAATAATAGAACACGGCTGAATTCACTCCTGTGACTTGAGCAAGATATCTGATACAATCATAGATAAAACCAGCCTCTTAAGAAACTCATTTATATTCATATAAATTCCTCAAATTTAATCACATATATAATACCATAAACTGCAAAAACTATGGATAATGGGTATGATGGGAAATCCATAAACTACTCTTTAAGATCAGTACTATTCAAAGCATTCCTAAAAAAATAACAGGTGTAATTTCAATATGTAATTATGAGTATAGACCAAGAAGCTAAAAACTAAAGTGGTATTCAAAATTATTTAAAAAAAACCTAATAACAAAAAAGTCACCTTTGTGTTAATCTTCATAGCACATTTAAATACTAGTCAGGATAAGTTCAGTAATGATAAATATTGTGTCATTACCCCTAACACTCAACGCAATGGCGGCATTTGTCTCAAATTGCCAAAAAATTTCCCATCAAATTTTTAAACTTACACGTGACATGAGCAAAATAGTGCCACTCTAAAAAAATTATTAGAGCAGACTTCTACAAACAACATGATAGCTCAACTAAGCTAAAATCTTTGCTCATGCTATATCTTGAACTATAATCAAATCAAACAACCTTACTAAAACATGTTTAAACAAGTTCCAATGCTAATCAAATCTTTTTCGGACCTTTGATCAATTTTTTTTAATCATGACCAAATCTCCTTTTAGCATTGTTCAAATGAGACCTTGATGAAAATATTTTTTATTCGTGATTGAATCTTCTTTTATCATTCGTCAAAACATGGTCAGAAATACATAAAAGATTCAAATAAGCTTCAAACAATATCCAATCATAACCCAAATATATTTCAATCAATATTAGAGTAACTTTTGACTCTTGAAGACAGTTCAAAGGTTGTGACCAGATTTTAAATGCTCTCCTCAGTTTAAAATGTTAAATGCTCTCCTCAATTTAAAATGTTCTCAATTATCATCATCCAACGATGTTAAAAATTGACACCTGATGCTCACTGGCCATGAGCATCTGCCGCCCATCATCATGATTACCCAGTCTACCTTGCAATCACAAAAATGCCCAAGTTGACCTCCATTCATTGCTTCACTACTAGCATCCATCAAATATCAATTGGCATTTCCCCAGCTGATGCCTTTAACATCTAAAGAAATGAAATACCACAATAGATTACTACTATAACAATTCATATTTATTAAATTGTATTACCTACTCCCATTATTAAAAGAAAAAAAAACATCATTTGCAATCCTTAATCTATATTAATAGAGATATTTAAATTGGGCAAAACAACGTGGTTTTGCCTCTCATGTTATCCATATAAAAAAATGTACTCTCTCAGGATTATTATTTTTAACATTGTACGTGATATATTGATAAAATCCTAATGTAATAACTTGAAAAAATAAATAAAATCAAATCAGATAAATTCAATTAGGTCGGTTCAAAGAAAAGCAAGGATTTCATTTTCAGAGACGAATATCTCTTTCAAATCGGACAAAATAGAAGGAAGAAACAGAGAGAGTGAGAGCAGAGAAAAAGGAAGGGTGTCGCATACTTTGCATACCCAAGGAACGATGTCGCCGTGCACGTCTCATTTGAAGGAGCAGAAGGCGGGAAGACTCACGAGACTTCGCGATTCAATGCCCACGAGATTTCGCGAGAGCAGGGAATTGCACAAAGCTGCGGACGCCGGAAGACTCACGAGAGCATGCGACGCGGGAGAAATCCCAGGCGAAAACAAGAATTACAAAGTTTCGCGATCCAGGCGGACGATGCCCATAGAAATTTTGAAGAAGGGCTTTTTTAGTTCCTTCTCGCCTCTTTCGTGTAAAAGTTTCTTCGGATGCTAAAAATAGTCATCCCCAGGTGTGTGTAGGAGGCAGTTTTGAGTGTGCTTGGTTTCAATTTTGAGTTGTATCTGAGGAGTTGGTGATGCTTCGGATGTATCCTCTCCGAGGTGGTGATTATATCCCCCTTCTACCTTCTACAAACCTTCTCATTTCCGCTCCTCAACTGACGAACATTCCATCCGTTACCCAGACACCAATTCATTGCCCTCCCTATAGATAACTACTGCTATCTTGCCTTCTTAACTCCGTTCAAGCTCCTCCCAACCACCACATTATCGTTTTCAGCAACCAACAACCATTCTCACTTGTTGTCCT